ATGTTGAGGGGCAAATTTGGCAGCACAAATTTCGCTGGTACATCGAGCTATTTAAGTCAGTAACGTTACGGTCAGTCAGTTAAATCGAAATAAATCTAGCCTACCTTTCGTCCACGAACTTCTTCCGCGTCAATTCCGCGTGTATAAAAACGTTGTAGAGTTAAAGGGATCTTGGAAAAATTTTTACCTAGGCCCTCCCCCAAATTAGAATATTTTTTCCTAGGCCCTCCCCCGGCTGAAATTTTTTTCCTAGGCCCTCCCCCCTCAGACGACCGGCCCTCCCCCCCCGGTAAATATCGTACAGTCCCTTATGTTAGTATGGTTTGATACTATGTTGGACGGTTCCACATTTTATTTCTTTTCCTCTGTTGAAGATACCAAAATGTACGGGTACACTATCACAGCTCTACTGCCAAGAATCTGTATCTGTATCAGTATAGCCGGTATAACTGCCTTTCGGCGTAACACACCAGCTTCGCAGGCACACGGCGCGGCGGCAGCTGGCTACTAGTATATTACACCGATTGACTTGTAACACCTAAGGGGCCACCTAACCCTTGAACTTCTAACTCTTATCTGTCTACGTACCTTGTTTAAAGCTATCTAATGACAATGCCCCTACTGTACTTGGTGACAGTGAGTTCCACTCTGCGATACTTCTAGGAAAGAATGAATTCTTGAACACCTCAATCCTTGGTTGATAACTCTGGAATCGTATAGATACTCAATTCTAGGTGTTTGTTGTCTATTTACCTCCTCATCCATGAAGTCCTCTGGTCTCTGCTGCACCTTGCCAGCCTTGCTGCTCCGGGAGGACACAAACGTGGCAGGGGTCCATCCTGCAGGTCATGTGGACAAAAATACATGTCTGGGTAGACACTCTGACCTCTGGTAGAATCAGCAAATTTACCAGTGGACATCATGATCAGAGTTTCATCAATTTATGAAACATAGTGAAAAATCATCATGGTGAAGTCAGCTTGATTACATGGTTTTTCAGGTGATCAGTACTGTAAATTCTTGTAAACTGTACAAGAACAAGTATGCACATCCAGGGCTGGAAATACTTTTTTAAAGTACCTGCAAAATTGCACATTGACAAAAACTTTAGATGCAATTTGAAAAATCTTTTGTCAGTGACACAAGATTATCATGAAAGTTCATCTGTGTTGGTAGTAATCATTATAGTAAAACGTTAAACTTTATTCCAACACACTATTTACAGGGATCAAATTTTCAGCGACCACTGTCGCCTTCATCTGTCGCCTTTCTAAGAGGCATTAAGGAGGCTATATATATCAGTGCACTTCAGCCTTCACTTAATAGAGATGGCAGGTGGACGATATAAACTCCCTGGCACTTTTGATCAATTGCTTACGTCACGTATCAGTAAAGTCTCGTGGGAATAAGGTCACGTGTTTGTAAACCGTAACTCTCGCGAGATCACGTTTTGAAGTGATTGGTCATTAATTATCCTGATGAAGGCGACAGTGGTCGCTGAAAATTTGATCCCTGTAAATAGTGTGTTGGAATAAAGTTTAACGTTTTACTATAAGACACAAGAATTATGCAAATCAGTCAAGAAGCTCCTGTTGTTTCAGAACAGCGTTGTCTGTCCTTGGGGCTGGGAGTGCCAAATCACAAGTAATTTTTGCTTCTTTGCCTGCAATACCCCCTCCTGCTCTAGGTGCAAAATTGCACATTCAAAATATTTTTTTCAATGTGCATTTTGCACATTCAGTGTTCGAAATACCTGTCTGCAGTCTGCAATCTGCAGATAGATTTTCAAGATTGCAGAAGAAAAATTTATACAATCTGCAATTTTGCAGCAGGAAAAATTGGCACTTGGGATTTGGTGCTCTTGGCTCCAAGGACAGACAACACTTAAGCTCCTGTTCTGAAACAATGTTCAGGAGCTTCTTCACTAATTTGCATCAACCTTGTCTTGACTTGTCTATCTTTTGTTTCTTTTTGGACTTCCAAAAATTTGTCTTCACTAATTTGCATATCAATCAATAGTTCATGCTTATAAACCTGCAAGATTGTAGTATGGAGGCTTGTGTATTTGCAGAAAGTATTTCCAAATTGCAGAACAAAATTTTGACTCTTCTGCAATATTGCAGAACACTGAAAAAAAGTATTTCGACCACTGACATTGCACGTGGGTATTTCTAGCCCTGAGTCATCAATAAGTAAAGGATTATTAAACGTTGGAATGGAAATGGAATCTGTGTCTCAGTCTTGTGCCATCATGAATTTTTGTAAGAAATGACTGACACTTGACATAAAATATTTCACTCTAAGAAGACCTTTTTTCCTCAGGGTCCCCTGCACCAATTAACATACTATAGACCTTTGAGGAACAATTCCAGATAGCAATTTAGTGCACAACCTAGCACAACTTTAATGGTAGTAAGAACAATAGAGAACAAAGGTGGCAGACAGAGTCACGTAAAAATGCAGTCCCTACTTTACTTAGTGGGCTTAAAACCAAGTGAGTGTCTAACACATATAGGGGTGACACTGTGTGGTCTTCTTAGACATTAGACAGTACTGTAATGCCATGACTGGTTGTACCTTCTGGTGTGTCCACAGTGTTGTAGTATCCTGCTGAGAAGCCTCCAGTGAAGGCTCCATGGAACCTGCGCCGGCCCTGCTGGTCTGTTACAACCTGGTCCTCAGTACTCACAGGCTTCTTCATAGGGGCATCTGAAGAAATCATGAATTCATCTCATTATGATCAGTAATATAATGCAGACCATCTCTAATGTAAAACAAGTAAAATCTGAGATTTTATACCTCCGGGCTTTTCATTGTATATTCTTATATGTTATTTGTTATGAATAGTTGATGGTGTTAAATTTTATGTGTTAGATTTCCAGGCTGTGTTAACACAGATCAACATTTTCATCTGCAGCTTACAACATGTATTACGTTACCCATGAACTTATGAGATTCCATTTAATCTGCCGCAAGGAACTCGTAATGAAATGCCCGCGATTTAGCCTCAGGAATTAATTTCGCATGTGGGGCATGGTAGGCATGCACGGCCGATGTCCGGCGCGCTACGTACATACGCTGCTGCACAGCCAGCGATTCAGTTACACTTTTACTGTTCTCAATCTGCAAAATATAAAACTTCACGGAGAATTGTCGCCTATGGACACTTGTTTTATATTGTTACTCCGTGAAGGAGGTCAGGACCTCCGGACGGAGTGTTGTGATCGGCTGATTTTTCATGTTCGCAGTCAAAACACTGGGTTCTCTTTGTGTAATCGGCACGCAATTTTATACGCCGTCTGCGGGCATGCCCGTGTTGATGCACGAATGTGTATTTTTGCCGTTGCTGCTTTCGCGGTCAATGTAATATTGCAGACGCACCCCTACAATTACGAGGCGAATTGGAATGGTCCAGAAAAACGCGTTGTTTGGAATAGCAGTGGGGGGGGGGTGGAACTTCATGCAGATACGGGGTGGTTTTTATAAGTGGTTCCAGATGTTTTTGCCCATGCTTAAGAGATGCCAAGTTTTTTGGAAGATGTTCGCAGCCAAAACGCAGGGTTTACGGAAAAACCTGGGCTGTCTACCTTACCAGGCTACCTTACCAGTCTACCTTGCCTGTCTAGGACGTAAGGCTACTGAACTCCCCCCATCCACAGCCTCACGAACAGCAAGACTTCCAAGCAGCTGCGCCCCCTGGTGGAATGCATCAGAATTGCACCCACTACTTTGGCACGTGCGTGTGCACAAACCTTTATAGGCCTGTGCAGCATGCAAGGAGTTAAACATAGCCTGACTAATCGCGCTCCTGGCGGCCGTCGACCCGAAGTGGGTGGGGGTCACACAGGCTATGTTAACACAGCAAGAAAACACAAATTTAGCACAAATAAATATACGCTATGTGCTAGTGACAATCATCGTCACTCGGCGTGGTTGTCAATGTGTCAGGAATGGGGTGTTAGTGAAGATATGTCACACGTTGTGCGATAGCGATTCAGCCGCTTCAGCGATTCTTCATTTGAACGTTATTTTTCATAATTGTTGAAGGGTAAAATTTTTAACATCATGTCTTCTTTTTCATTTTTTTGTTTAATTCTGAAAAGATACTTTTACATATACAGCACAGAGACCTGTCCTCTCCGTCATACAATAACATGTGGACGTCGACGTCCTTATCTCCACATGGGATAATCAATTCTATAGGCTACATATTATCGAATTACATGGATAAACACATGCTATGACCGAGAGCCCTGATGCCTTGTTAAGGGACTGTACGAT